TGAAGTGGATGTGCCGGCAAAATGATTACAACAATGAAACTGGATTATTTAGTATTTAACTGTACATTTTATTCCACTCTAATACCATGTCAGTTACTATCGGCCAGTAAAACACGGAGCCACTTGTTTAATACGTGGACCTTACATTCGGTCAGTGATGTGTGAGAGGTTGCCCCCTTTTCTCTGGCGCGAATGTTTATATATTTATCTGTCCAACGGTTTTATCCCGCACATACATACTAGTTGCAGCCAGGCCTACCGTAGTTCTCTCGTGGTCACCAGGTGAATCACGGATTTCTAACCTTATTAGGATCACCTCAGATCAGCTCTGCACCTGGCCTCCTTGATAGTCTGGTGTGAAATTGGATGCAAAACCAGTTCTGGTATGATCTGGGGTGACACCTACATTGCACGAAATCTTTTCACTGCAAAACTATCAGTACCTATTAGGTGTAATATTTATTAAGCTTAGCTTGGTACAAGGTCACATCTGTGGACGTTCAAGGAGGATCGAACTCAACAAACAATAACAATTTAGCTACAGTGTGGTTTTATATGTAGTTTTACCGATTAAATAAGGTTACATTTAAATCAGAGTTTGATGCAAAATGACCTTGAAGTTGGCACAACATTTTTTTTTTTGATCTATAGATACAAGGTAGTGGTCATTTCCTGCTTTAGGAGTCAAGATAATGAACCGTTTGAAACTGCGCCGTTTAAGAGAACCAAGGTTTATATTTAGAAGTTGATGAGAATTATTTTATTGGTGATTTTCTTTTATGTGTCACCTTTAAAAATAGCAATAAAGAAAGGCCGATGATATTCAGCAGTCAACTTTATTGCTTTTTAAAATAAAAATATCGTTAGTTTCCGATCCAGTAACCTTGACGGAACGAAGAGATTAATTTTGTTTGGTGTCTTTCATCTCATGCAAGAAACACTGGTAGAATTGTGGATTTTTATTATTATCGTTTGATAATTGTTTTAAGAAACAGAATTCAAAGTGACTTTTCCTTAACTCTTTGAGCCCTCACCACCGATTTACCGGTGGTTGAAAAAAATGACGTCATACCCAGCCACCGGTTGAAAAGTAGTAGAGGACAATGACGTCATACCCAGCCACCGGTTTAAAAGTAGTAGAGAAAAATGACGTCATACCCAGCCACCGGTTGAAAAGTAGTAGAGAAAAATGACGTCATACCCAGCCACCGGTTGAAAAGTAGTAGCGAAAAATGACGTCATACCCAGCCACCGATTGAAAAGTAGTAGCGAAAAATGACGTCATACCCAGTCACCGGTTTAAAAGTAGTAGAGAAAAATGACGTCATACCCAGCCACCGGTTTAAAAGTAGTAGAGAAAAATGACGTCATACCCAGCCACCGGTTGAAAAGTAGTAGAAAATGACGTCATACCCAGCCACCGATTGAAAAGTAGTAGAGAAAAATGACGTCATACCCAGCCACCGGTTTAAAAGTAGTAGAGAAAAATGACGTCATACCCAGCCACCGGTTTAAAAGTAGTAGAGAAAAATGACGTCATACCCAGCCACCGGTTGAAAAGTAGTAGAGAAAAATGACGTCATACCCAGCCACCGGTTGAAAAGTAGTAGAGAAAAATGACGTCATACCCAGTCACCGGTTGAAAAGTAGTAGAGAAAAATGACGTCATACCCAGCCACCGGTTGAAAAGAAGTAGAGAAAAATGACGTCATACCCAGCAACCGGTTGAAAAGTAGTAGAGAAAAATGACGTCATACCCAGTCACCGGTTGAAAAGTAGTAGAGAAAAATGACGTCATACCCAGTCACCGGTTGAAAAGTAGTATAGAACAATGACGTCATACCCAGCCATCGGTTTAAAAGTAGTAGAGAAAAATGACATAATGACCAAGCACCGGTTGAACGGTGTGTAAACACGTGTAACTATTTTTATATCTACTGTGTAACATTACATACCAATTATTTGCGAATTTTGACTCAGAAGTTCAGGCAGAAGAAAGGTTAAAATTGTTCAGGAACCCAGGGCTCAAAGGGTTAAAGCAAGTATGAAAATTAAAGCCGAAAGAAATACAACAATCGTCGTGCGTTTATGAAACGTGGACTGTGAGAATCACTTTCTATTTCCGCTGGGAGGAGGGATTTGTGCGTATGTTTCATGGGTGAAGTGGTTGTAGATTTCTCAACGGGGTGACAAGCCAGTGTTCGTACCTAAGTTCAGAAAGTCAGTATTTCGAATGCAGATTTTCAAGGAAAGACACAGTCTAAGGAAAATGGGCATCAGATGGCTCTCCTATTGGAAATTTAATTTAAAAAGATAAAGAAAGAAAGAAAGAAAGGCCATTAAAATATAAAGGTAAACGGAATAAGTGATCAAAGAATAAAAGAAAAAAATAAGAAAAAGTCCAAAGAAAGACAGAATCAAAGACCATATGAAAAACAGAAAGAGATAAAGAAAGAGAAACAGAAAGAGATAAAGAAAGAGAAACAGAAAGAGATAAAGAAAGAAAAACAGAAAGAGATAAAGAAAGAGAAACAGAAAGAGATAAAGAAAGAGAAACAGAAAGAGATAAAGAAAGTAAAATTGCCACAAAAAGAAAAGAAAAAAGAAATCCAAGAAAAGAAAAAATTCAAAATCGAAGACAATAAGTAACCATGAAAAAGAAAGATAAGAAGAAAGAAAGAAAGAAAGAAAGAAGAAGCTAAAGAAAAAGCAAATATTCAAAAAAGAAAAATGAGCAAAAAAAAAAAAGAAGGAAAATAGACATTAAGTGAGGGTGTTTCTCTTGTTCTTCTCTTCTCTTGCAAGTTTGTCTTTCTTTTTACTTCTCTTTACTTTCCTCTTTATCTTTCTTTCTTTCTCATTCAATTTCTGATTCTTTTCACTTTTTACTTTCCTTACACTCTCATTTACTGCTTTCATCTTGTATTTCAATCTCTGTCAGTTTTACCCTCTGACTCCCCATTTCCATCTTAATTGCAATTTAGTACATTTGTAGGGACATTATTATTATAAATAAATAAAAATAACATATAAAATAATAATATTGATGAATATTATAAATAAAATAAAACAAAACAATAATATTTCAACTCTGTTTACAATAAATTAAATAAAATATAATAATAAAAAATACTCTCCCAGCATGCAACAAAAACGTAAATACGGACATCCCTCCCAAAAGACGTTAAATCCAATCTCTTCAACACGAACCTTGGTACGGGCAACACGTGTCTAACTTCTCTCTATGATATAGCTTGTAAAACTATGGAGTAAATTTCTCCCTTTTATTGAATGTACCATAAAACAATTATAACTTAAAATATACACATACCAATAGACACAAAAATATAAATAAATTGTATGAAAATAACATAGAATTTACGATGCTTTCCTGTTATTTCTGTACGTTTTATTTCCTGTCAATTATGTTTTTATCTCCGTAAACACAAGGCTAATTTCTACTGCTATGATGTGAGTGAATCCCTCACACATTCTTAACCAGTTCCATTCGACTTTTCAATCAACATATTTTCCATACCTAATTCCGTTTCACTTATATCTCTATACTTGTAAAATCTACGCGTAACCGGTGTTCAAATATCGTCCCCCACCTGTACAAATGATTCCCCTGAAGAAGAATAACCCCTTAAGAAAGGGGACACCTGTTTACTGTACCTATATTTATATATCTTTAGTTTTTTGACTCTCGTTCCAATCGAATCTGTCTACCTTTTAGGATCTCCTGCAAATTAAACCTATATCTTTTTTTTAACATTTCATCCCATGAAAGATAACAAAGCCACTAAGATGCAAGGGGATACTGAGTGTGCAAAAATATTTAAAAAAAAAAAAGAAATATTATTAAGCAGCAAGTACAATAAAAGAATAGGGATTAAAAAAAAAGAGAGGAGATAACGATTGACATTGCATTTAAATTTTTGAAGATCAAAGTTGGCTGGAAAGCAAGAAACCGGAAGAAAGTTCCACAAGCGAGAAGTACGAGAAAAGAAAACTGTTAGCATAGAACATACGGCTACATTTAGCTATTTCAACTGTAACATGATGAGACTTTGCCGCCAATCTGGTACTAAGCTTAAATTCATAAAGTCAATTAGGAAAGTTCATCAGAAAAAATACTATCAAAGTATTTATAGAAAAGGCATTAGGGAGATGCTTTACAGCAGTGGGAAATGGACTAAAGCCGAGATGCCAGATCAGGAGCAATGGAATTGCAGATTCTCCTTTTGATTTTATCCAGAATCTATAAATATATAACAGAAACACCTGATCATATGTGACAGCAGTATTCGAAGCATGGACGAATGTCTCCCTTTCTTTAACAAAGTGACAGAATTCATTATTGAATAAATTAGAAAATGTTGTCCCGTCACAAGTCCTGTAATCAATTAGAGTCGTAAGGAAACTGCATGTACTGCATCCATAGCAAAAGTAGTGTGCCTTGTGTACGACAGCCTGACGGAGCAAGTAGCATTTCAAGCTGGTTTTAAATTCAACGTTTTATTTCTCGTAGACTGGTTACAACCATAAAGCAATAGAGCTCAATGTGTTCTGGTATTTAAAGGAAAGCTAGAGGAAAATGGATTCACGACTGCAAAAGTATATACCCAGTATTAAAACACTATCATTTAATTTGGCGAATATGTGCATATTAACCGAATACCCGTCCTACTTAAACAAGAAACGTTGTAATAGAAATTCTGTTACTGCCATGAAATTTCTGTATAAAGAACATTTTTAGCAACACATCTATTTGCTAAAGTTCTTTTTATCATTATGCTAAATTCACTTGAACTTCCTACTCTGGACATAACTAAACTGAACTGACCATGAGAAAAGATTTTTTATCATTTCACCCCAAGCAAGGCGATCATGCCACTAAGATGCAGGGGGGGGGGCTACTTGGTGTGAAAGTGAATGAGAAGACTTTAGAAGGAACCGGAAACACAATCGTAAACAAGAAACAAGGGATAAATTTCAAC